AAAAAAAAAATTATACGTGGATTGTGAAATTATTTGGTTTGAGTACATCCTCGGCTATGCCATTTCATTTGTCGCGCAACGAATTATTCCAACAGTACATCTCATATACATGGTTTGTGCAAACCTTTGTAACAAACGTAATAATACAAAGATATATAAAGCATTTTTAAATTATTATCTAAGCACATTAAATAAAATTTACGAAGAATTTAATAACGCCAATAATTTTGCTTATAAAGCAGTCACGCTCATTGGGAAAAAATAAGTTTTGTCGCATATTTGCCAAAAGAAATTGTGTCCATGTAATTTTTGGTTCTCTTTCGTTGGTGTTTTATACTGTGCATTTAAAAAATAAGTGAGTGCATTTAGTTTGTATGCATTTGTTAAAGACTTTGGCTTTCTCGCGTTGCTTTTGTTTAATTGATATGCAGTATAAATATGTGAGTTCAATTAGGAAATAAATAAAATTGGCATAGACTTCATTTCCCACGGTGATTTATTTTTAAACGTAAAAAAGACAATTTCTACTTGTATTTTTTGCACATTTGTCTGATTGAATTCAAATTTGAAACTGAATAAAATTAAAATAAAAAAATAAAAAATAAATAAAAAAATTGTCTACAATTAATTACTAATTGATTTGAGAAGGTTGCATGACGAAATTTTTGTACCAAAATTATATGTGCGGGTTTGAAATTCTTGTGACCTGCAATCGGCTGCTGGTTTTCAAAATAGTTAGTTAAGAATTTTGTATTTTGATGTTTTTCTACTTTTCTATATTCTTTACTATTATATTCACGATTTTAGAAACTGTATGCATTACTGTAGGCTTTTTGCAATCACATTGCGGCTTTTATGCAAAGCCACGTAACTTTATAAATGCAAATGAGAGCAAGAGAGAGAAGATTATTGCCATTGTATTATTGAAACACATTCAAAAGCCCTTTTTATACAGTTACAAGTCAACGCTAAATATAATTTTTTTATTATTTCAACACATTTTTATAAAGTTACACAACTATTAAAGCTTTATAACAAGTGCTTCTTGTATTCCACAACTTAAGTTTGGAAGTAAAAAATTATTATGTTATTCAATATATTAAACTACTTTCTTTCGCTAGTTTTGTTTAGCAACTAAGTATTTTTAAGTCTATAGCGTCATAGACTAGCCTCTATCACCGTGTTGTCGTTCACGTCTGCTCTGGAGTGCATTATTCGAGTTTGTGGCAGATTATACGAACGTCTGCTTCTTTCTGTATATTTGTTTCAGGAACTGGAATGAAAAATCTTTGGCGTTTTTATGCATGGCGAATTTTTCCAACAAAATATTTGCCTTTATATATTTTGTTTTTGCAAAATTCACACACAAATTTATGCATATATTTTTGCATTAATTGCTAACGCGTTTCACTGCTTAGACATCGGTCGGTGCATGCAACAATTTCTTTACATTTACGCAGCTTTATTTCTTGAACATGGTTTCCATCAAATTTTCGCCGGGTTGATTTTTAGGGCGCGGCGATGGTGTTAGCGAGCGGGTATGCGGTGCAAGTTCATCCTTTTTATGCACTGCCGAGGTGGCAGCACGACGTTGACGTATTCTTTCCTCCATAACGCTGGGCACCATGAAACAGTTGGACTCACGGTAGATCGGCTTGCGACGATCGTTCCATGGGAACTCCCATTTGATGGGCGTGAAGTCACGACGCCATGGCTTGCCTGCAATTCAAGTGAATAATATTCAATTCAATACAATATTGAACACAAATAGGAGTTATGGTACTCACGTGGCTTGAACCAGAAGTGACAGGTCCAGTCTTCTTCGCCATCGTCGTCAACATCACTAAGGGGCAGTTGAAAAAAATTAAAGACTCAGTTAAAAATGTACTGAATATTTGCTTACCCTCTCACATAAACCCGCACATAACGTCTATTCTTACGGAACAACTCCAATGCTTCGTTGAAAGTTAGCTCCAACGCTGGTGTATTGTTAATTTGCGTAATCTCATCGCCAACGCGCATGCCGGCACTGCGTGCCATACCAGTTGGTGTCACATTGATAATGGTTAATGGTTCGAATTGATCAATACCACCGGTCACCTCGATGCCCCAACGTGAATCGACGAAACTCATAATGCGTCGATCGGTCTCGAGCGTGTATGTCATGCGGAGCTCATATTCGACATTATCGAAAGCGTCCGACTCGTATTTGGGTAGTCTGTTCTTTGGGTCGCGCATGCTTTAAAGGAGAAGTTTGTATTTTTTTTTTTATTAAAATTTGAAGCCATTTTTGTAAGTATTACGGTATATCTTTCTACCTGTTATCGGTTTTTCTTGTAAACGCGTTAAATGAAAAGACAGCTTCTCAGCGATCCAACAATTCCTCCACCACTACGACCGATTCTCCGTACGTTTAGTATTGCTTCTGGCACTTTTTTGTCACTAGCGTCCAACACAGGCACGTCCTGACAATAGATCGACCAAAATTCAATTGCTCGCTGCATAGTCAAGTGGGTGGCATTTATAGTGGGCTGTAGCAGCCGTGGTTTCACGGCCAATGTGTTTTTACTTAGTTTCAGGGTTAAGGGGTACAAGTTCGATTACACGTCATTAATTGCTTGCATTTTAGTGTTTTAGTTTTAGCGCAATTCGTTTTTTACTGTATTAAAAATAGCGCATCCGTGACCATGTGCTACGGTTTGCCAAAAAAATTACAAACCACCACCAACAATATGGTACTGATTCACTTTCGAGATACTATACTTACTTACTTACTTAGATTACTATACATTATGTGAGACATCTGACAGTGCATTAAACATTCATGATGGATAAGCGGCTAAAACTGCTAAAACGTGGCTTCGTCGTTCAAATTTCGGCTCTGCGACTGATCATTTCAATCTAAGAAACAAAATGCTGTGGTTACGGAGGCAGTTTTTACGGAGGAGATGTGAGTCAGTGTTTTGTTAAGGTGGAGTTGTAATCGACAAATCGTTGCAAAAATTCCGGCTAGTAGAGTTCCGCAAATGTTTTGCCCTTCTCTTGGTAATTGCTGTAAAATATCTTGTGGATCTCTGATTTTCGCCCGTCGTATGTAAGTTACTCGCTTTGTTCGGAGCAGGTTCGCCGTGGAACCTATACTGTTTCGACAGTTACTTATTGTCTTGTTGTTCTTGTTAAAGCGGCAGAAAACATTACTAAAGTAATTTCGAGGAATGGTGTCGAGATGGGAGCCCTTGGCCGGGTAAAAATCCTGATCCGTTCCGGTTACTTAGACTCGACTGCCGTGGAAAAGGGCCATTAGTTTATAGTGAGCATCAGTGGAACTATGTGTCGTTGTCGGCTACGAAATTACGCAGAAGCTTCATCGAATTGCGCTTAAACAGCGTCAAATGGACTCATGGTTGACCGGAGTAAGCAACCACTGCACGCAACACACCGACGGCTTTCTCAAATCGTATATTTTATTCAGGATATGACTGGCGACTAGGTGTTTTCGTTGCATCTGAGTCTCATCAAGTGTGACCACTTTACAAATCGCTGAATAAATTTTTTTATTGTCGCATTTAAAGAGAGAAGTTATTTCATATCAATATCTCTCTTTAATTTATTTTTCGGTCCATTTGCTAAAGCCGTCTACGGAAATGTTCTACGGACTTAGGCCGTAACGAAACTGACGAAAAAACAACGAAGGAAGCTGTTTGCGAATGTTCTGTTAGATGCTCGCACCATATCGGTATCAGTAGCAACTTACAGGAGTCCTTAATATATCGAGGTCTTTGAATCGAAAGTGAACGGAGTGAGCTGAGAACTTGTACTCAGCATTTTTTGTTATACATAGCTATTTACTCAAAAAGAGGGTCTCTCATCCGTGAAGACCTTTTCTTTGGGAATGTTTTTTTACGTGGCCTCCAGAGCACAACCCTAGGGAGGCATGATTCGCCTTTTTACTTAAGCTTGCCTTCAAACGGATGTTTTTGGGTACCCAGTAGATACTTGGTCTAAGACCGTGAGTCGTGAGCCGCTTAAGCCGTATGTAAAATAATTGTTTATGGCCTCTTTCTAGTGAATGGCGCTCAGAGAACTTTCCTCACTTGCGTGAACTTTTACACATGGTTCCAACTTCCTAAGTCCGAGGGCGAGATGAAAGATCTCCTGTCGTTGCATTCTCAACTTTGCTCCCACGTCACTCTTGACAGTGTACGACAATAAAGAGTATTATAAGGTTTTACTAAAATGGTCGCTATGAATCTAAAAAACGACGAAGTTAGTGGTGATTAACATATTAAACTCTTCAAGAAATTCTCTACACACCAATAGTAGTCACTTTACTGGACGTGAGGAATATTATCTGAAAATAAGTCGTGGTAAAAAAAAAAAAAAAAAAAAAAAAAAAAAAAAAAAAAAAAAAAAAAAAAAAAAAAAAAAAAAAAAAAAAAAAAAAAAAAAAAAAAAAAAGTCGTGGTAAGTTGATGGTTTTGGTACACATTCCGCCTTAAAAAGGTGAAAATAATCGTCAATACAGACCCAGGACTCTAGCTTGATCTTATAACTTAGGAAAACCTCAATAAAGGTTCTGGGAAGCTTTGCTTGTCAAGTTGCAGTTTAAACCTCATAGGCTGTAGTCGTAGGTAGTTGATTTTGGGTTTTGTCCCAAAAAACATCATAAAATGCTTCACTATGAATTCAAGTATACATACATACATATATCTTATATACCTGGCCAGATTTGAATTCACAGTATATTTCGCGGAATCTTTTTTATGCATTAAAAAAAACCCAAACTTAATAATATTTTATACATGTTGCACAGTGTAGTATATTTCTTTAACATATCTTCCCCACTACTAAAACATATATAAGCACACATGTATTGAGGCGTTTTAATCTTAATGGGAGCGCCAATTCTTGAAGTAGCACTGCAGCGAGATCAGCAAAACAGAGAGCTGAAATGAGTATGTGCACTCAGAGTGCCGGACAGCCCCAACAATCTCAACCAACTGTCACCATTCAAGCACTACCCGACCCACGCCTGCGACGTCTTCTTGTTAGTAGTATTTTTGTCGCAGTAACGTTCGGACAGACAATTTAACTGTATTGTAATCGTAAGTGGTCAATTTGTCTCAGTGATTAGAAGAGCAATAACTTATTTGCAAGGTGTTGGAAAAATATATACATACATATGTTCATATGCGAATTTATTTATACATATGTAAATATATACAGTATGTATGAGCTCATGTGTATAAATATGTGCTATGATAAACAAAATTGAGGATCTAATAAAAATGGTTGTGGACAGAAAATAAACAATTTAATAAATTACAGACATTACTCATGCAAGTATGTATGTATGTGTGCTTGTGTTTGTGCGAATTAAATAATTTTACTGTAAAATTATTAAAAATTAAATGCAAATGTTAAAACGAGTCAGAAAATATATGACAGCAACAATTAATTTGTCATGTAAACAGTTACCGCCCTTTGTATGCTTTATTTGCATGTGTGTATGTGCAAGTAAGTGTGCAATGTTGTTGTTTATTCTATTACCCTAGTCTCCATTTGGCCTACTTGCGTTCAGAACATCGGAATGCATATGTAATTACTCAATTCCTGGCAGATCACATCATCGCTCGGTCGCCCGCCCACCTACGCTACCTGTTGGTCGCTTCCAATCGGCACATTGGCATATCAAAGTCGTATCGGTTAAGCACACAAACACTTGTCATTTGAGAATTTTAATTTGTTTTGATATTTTAGGCAGCAAAATATTTTCTTATAAGAAATTAGCACAAACAAAAACAAAAAGGTCGAATGATTAGTTATTCCAGGCATAGTCGGGGGCCAACGCGTATTTGGCGATCTGTTGCGTGAGCACTACGCTGACTGCGAAAGGTCGCACAGCGCTGGCCAAATTCAACAATTCCAGGTTTTTATTTTTTATTTTTTCTTATATGTACATATGTAAGTATGTACGTGTACAATGTTTTTACGCAAAAGGAAATGTATTAAAAACAAGTAAACACGCGCTAATTGGCTTTTTTGAGGTCTTAAATTTATGAAAAAATATGTGTTATGTTAAATAAATATAAACACAACAAATAAGGAAGTGGTAAGTTCGAGTGCAACCGAACATTTTACATTTAGCGAGAGGGGTGTTAGATGAGCGGTGTTCGCTGTACATGCAAAAAGTATGTTAGAGTCATGTGGAGACTCATGGCACGCTGGAGATATATTTGGTGTTTCTGGGTCGATTATGGATAAGGAGGAGTTTAACCTGCTGTAGTATCTAGAATGAATTTGTATAAAGATCACTCCAGCTTCGCGTAGCAACTCGACCTCTTCGTTCGCAATGTGTGGTGGTTTGATTCCAAGTACGCCATTCACTGAGAGGGAGTCGGTGGATATATTGATCGCTCCAGTGTGAACGATAGTCAGTGCGTGACAGGTACTTGCGCGTGAAGACTGGTCGGCGTATTGATCGATCGTAATCTAAGTAAGACCTGAAGTCATGTTCCTAGGAGGTGACCCCGCTTTAGGCAGGCGAGTGTAAAGAAGGCTTCTGCGAAAGAAATCTCACAAAAACTGCTTTGGGAAGAGTACATTATGTTTCTTGACCGAAAACATGCGGGCCTCGTTGTAAAAAATGTTCTGTCGGAAACTTCAAGAGGGGATGCCTCTTTTGCCTCTTTGTTTTGAGTGCAGTATTTTGACGTATGAAGCTTCTTCGTCTGCATTTCACCACATTCAGGGGTCATCCTACATCGATGGGGCGTAGTTTATGACCGGCAAAATATATCACATAAAATCTTAAGATTGTTGGCAGTCGGAATTTAAACGTCATCGACCGTAATACTAAGATTCGAACCCATATTGTACAATCATCAGCTCACGAGGTGATGGAAATTCCATCAGGTGCTTGGTCAAGCTTCGAAATGTAGCTTACTTAAACAGTAAGGTGGTGAAGACACCACCCTGCTTTTCTTTGATTTGACAGTTTCAACGTCGAAACAGTTCTATTAATTGCCGACCATTCATGTGCATCATCCCTGGAGTGAAGGGGGTTTTTCGATGTGCTCAAGTAGCATTGAATGATTGAATGTGCCAAAAACTTCGGAGTCTAAGTGCTGTGGTGGGGGATCGATCGATAAGAAATGTTGAGAATCTCTGATATCGCTCTGATGCCAACACGACGATTTTCAAGCACTGTGTTGCATTTGGCAATTTTTCAAACACTTTACGATCTTCGCTGATTTTTTTGTGCCATTCAAAGAGAACGTGATAGAGTTGAGTCCCAAAAATATTATACTACTCCAATGATAATGGATACTTTTATGATTGTGTAACCGTGTTTTCATGGGAATCACAAAATTTCAAGCAATTCGTTGTTTTCAAGCGTCGTAAACAAACCACTGTCAAACACGTATTCTCCGTTCCCACGACTGTCGCGTCTATGGAACCGGAACGGACCTGGATTTATATGGATTCGGTCAACTACTGATAGCACGGCAGAATTCTGCCGCTACAAACAAAAACAACATACTAAGTACATGTGGAGATCAAACTTCAAAAGAATATGTATAAAAAAAGATTGTACCAATCTAGTAAAATTCATTCGATTTGGAGATGTACTTTATATAGACCAGTCCGGGTTAAATTAGATCTGTTGGTATATTTCAAATTTAAGTCAAATAAAAAGATTTTGGGGGTTAGACTTGAAAAAAAAATATATATTTTTGAAGCACCCTGATATACATATACAAATCTATGCGCAACCATAAATATCCTTGCCCGTACTGACCGTTTTTGATAATTTTTAATGACAACGTTCCTGTTGTTTTTTCTTTTATTCGATAAATATATGCATAACATAATTTTTGGAATTTTTTATTTTTTTCCTATAGTTCAAATATTTTCATTAGTCTCGCGGAAACTCATACGTAAACTTCTTAAATTATTTTTATCTTATCATTGTGTTAATAACTAATGCCATTAGACATGGAATTTAGTGACTCAAGTAAAAGGAGGTGAAATGTCATAATTAGACATACTTACATACCATGTGTACATTTGTATGTGTATTAGTAAGCATACTTGGCTTACCGGGACTTTGAAGCAAAATACAAAAAAAAGTTTAACCAAGCTGTTGCCGTAAAATTCTTAAATATTTGAACAGGTGTCTACATACATATGTATGTATGTCATATAGGTATATTAATGTCAAGATATAAAAAAAAAAATACGGTTAGTTATCGAAAATCTAATTTAAACTATTTAGAATTGTGAAATCTATATAAATCACTTAATCATTTTTATGAATTCCGATGTAAATATAAACATATGCAACAAATACAAAATGTATGCATACAATATATACTTTGGTCCATATGAACATACAAATCTAAAAAACACAATGCAAATGTTATACGATACTCTTGTTGTTTTTATCTTCTCCTATAGAACTTGTTTGCTGCATTTGTACATCAGTATTCTTCACCTTAACCTAGGACAACAACACACCCAGCCACTGTGACAGCGGAGCGCGTGAGAGCATAAAACTCGTACTCCTCTACTACAACAAAAGCAACAGCACAAACTTCAATCCCACTCAATACTAGCTTTTGAACCACACAGACAACCGAGCGCAACCGCTGTAAAACAATATGGGGAATCCACTTTGGTTTATCTTTTGGTTTTTGATCTTCTGGTTCATCTCATTCTTTGTGGCTTTCTTGGCTGCGTTCTTATACATAATATGCTATGTATTGGAAGTGCTGTTTAGTGGGTTATCGGTGAGTATTAATACATATAATATATATGTATATGATGCAACTCTAACCGCAAGTGGAAATACATATGTAGGTATAAAGCATTTATTGGGGGATTGCTCATTCTTAACAGGTCAATTGAAAAGTCCCCGGCCTACCATAGTAAAACAATTTTTTTTTTTTGCAAAATTCGTAATGTTTTTTATTCAACATAGTTCCCTTCAAGAGTGATACATTGATTATAACGACCTTTCAACTTTTTTTGGTCCCAGATTTGTATTACAATTCGTTCTTTGCTTCAAAGTAGGCCTCTGTTTCGGCAATCACATCTTCATTCGACGCCATTTATAAGTCAAGCCGGTTATCAATTTCAATTGACCTGTTATTTATAAGCCTTATTGTAAGATCATTTTTGGCGAGCCAAAGAGAGTTGTAACCGACTTGAAAAAGGTGAGCATTCTATATGAACTTAGTTGCTTATACAAGGAGAGTTCCAAAGTAAACAGTAATTTTTGAATCTAACGCCCCCCCATCTATATGTCGACTGCTGCGTCAGAATCTGCTATATTTATCGATAGTCCAGTGAGAATTTCATGACATTTGGAAGTGAAGTTATAGCGTTTTAAGTGTCAGTATGTTTGTGTTATCGGTGTGAAAATGAGCTTCCAACAAAGAGCCAACATGAAATTTTCTTTTAAAATTGGTAAAACTTTTACCGAAACATTTCAATTGATGAAACAAGTTTATAACGATGATTGCCGGAGCAGAGTGCACTAGTGGTTTCAATATTTTCAAAGTGGTCGTGAGGACATAAATGACGATCAACATGTGGGGAAATCAAAATCCGTGATCATCGGAAATTCCATCAGAACTGTGCGTGAATTCCTCAAATATCAGCCGAAATCATCATTGAAATGGAATTGAACATCTTCAAAACATCGATTTATCGCATTTTCATGAAATTCGCAGACGTAGAGGCCATTCAAAATGCTTGCACCGACATACCGGCGGCCAACGAGATAAAACACTGTTTCGACACGCTTTTGGATCGTGTAAAAAGCTGTATTGAAGCAGAAGGTAACTATTTTAAATAAAATAAATTGATTTTGCTGAAAAAACCATTTGTTCAGTTTTTTTTAAGTCCTGTTTACTTTGGAAAGCACCTTGTAATTTAACGTACTTCTGAGGGTCCGAATGTATTGTTCCCTTACTAAAGCCATGGTCAACTGCGGTCGGTATATGGCGTATCCTTCGTTTGTTGACGTCTTTTAAGTTGGTTTAAGGGCAATATATCTATAAAAAATAGTACATAGTCATAAAGATTTGACCGCTTAAATGTCAGAGTAGATATATTCAAGTTATCTTTATTTGAGGAAATACGAACGAAACTTATACCGTGATCTGAGAGGTTGTTTTATCAGCTTGAAATAGGCTTATCACCTAATCGGAAGTTTATGGTATATACGTATTTGGTGGAAGATAAGTTTAAGGTAGTAAATTCCACCACTGACCTTATCATCTAGTTTCGAATCATAAAATCCAATATTCAAAGGTGCTAATGTTTATGAACCCAATATTTGCTAATTTTCAGTTTGATAGCGGTTAGAGTCCCGATCGTGCCTTATTTATAGCAGTATACTGAATGTTAATTGATTTCTAATATAACTTGGCCCTATTCCTTTCTTCGTTATGGTCAACCAACATATAAAATTTAATTAATTGTGAATAGTTTGGTCTTTTTTCTTAGATTATTGTTTTTGTTGTTGTATCGGTTATCTAATCGCCGCTTGGCGAGTTAGTTGTCATCGAAGTTATTTAATAGTAGCCCAGGAAAAGTATTGTATGGAAGGGGTCGGATCATAGGATCATACATGCAGATGGGTTCGCTATCCAAGTTTGGATCGGTTAGTTTTAGTTCCTTTTTTCTTCTTACTAGATAGCTTGATAAAATCGGCTAGGGTTTGCTGAATAGAGTTAATACAGTACACATACTCTTTATTCCAGTATTAATGGGGTAAAAATCTATAGTCGTATTCAAAAAATCAGTTCTTCCAACTCCTTAATAAAGCATGAACAATGTTATAGCTGGCAAAGCTCTTAATCGGATGAATATTAAATCTTAACTTAGACTCGACTAAGGGAAATAGTAATTATCGTTTCTACTTCGGATCCAGCAAATTATTGAAAATGAACAACAAAAAAGAGTATAATCTTGGTCGTTAGGCCGAAAACTATTTAAAAATCCATAATTTTTTCGGAAAATGTATGATTGTGTGATAGAGAATAAGGAGCCCGTTGCTGCACAGTAAAAAGTCCAAAATAAAAATACTTTCATGCATGGCATCTTATATGAGCATTAAAAAATTCATGCATTTTGTTTAGAGCAACATATTTATTTTAATTATTTTAAAAAAATTCTCACAACATGTGACATTGGTTATCTCAAGATAGTTAGATCACACCCAAACATTTTAGACTAATGCTCGCATATTTAAGAATGTAAATAATATTTGTGAGTCAGTGATCTAATAAAAGTAAGATATTAACTGTCGCATGACATCACTTTGACGCAGTCATTCTCCGTCTTTTAATAAAGCAGTTTGCATTCATTACGCACCACGTCAAGAGGCCAGTCGGTCCTATATAATACAAACATATATCAATCTGAATCTATGACTTAACCAATCACTGTGGCACTCGTAACTCATGTGCGAAACACTTTCAGTGATAAGGGAGTGAATAACGATAGATCTTCCCCTTCACATTTTTTAATTTCATTCGTATTAATTTCTTGATTTAGTTTAAAATGCGTTGAAAGCTGTTTTATTTTGAGTAAGTGAGAAAGATAAGAAATAATCAATTATTGCTCTCTGATTAATTATAGCCTCATACCAGAGTGCACACTTAAGTATAATTGTTGATACAGTTCGTAATTTTTTTACTCTCACAATTTGTTGTCAAGAAAGTGCGGAAGGGCTTTAGAGGAGCCGGTCTCAAAATTGAATAATGGGCATAGTTTCGCCTACCTTTGATCAATTTCAAGTACTATTACTAGTAGTAGTAGGCCTCATATACCTAAAATAAGAATTTTTAACTTTTGGTTGGCATTAAAATGGCACAGCTAGTGCTAATTGAGCCTGAACTACAGCAGGTCTGCACTCCTACCTACCAATAATAAAATCTGAATTTCCACCTATCTTTAAACCGTTTGTAGTGGTCATTATGTGTGATATTTTACTGAAATTAAGAGGACAAGTTTCTTACAAATTTTATTTAACGCTGAATATGAATAAAATTGGTACTAGATTTTGGACCAAAGTTCAAATCCCTATCGTAATAATTTCAGATCCACTCATTGATATACAAGATGCGTTCCAAGTCCTGACTTAAAAACAAAACAAAATAAATGGTTTTTTTCGGCAAAATCAATTAATTTTATTCAAAATCTCCTTCTGCTTCAATACAGCTTTTTGCACGGTCCAAAAGTATGTCGAACTAGCTTGTTGGCTGGTATGGCCGCCGGTATGGTCAACAATTTGTCGATGCAAGACTTTTGAATGGCCTCTACGTCTGCATAACGCTTTCCTTTCATGAGCAAATATATTTTTCCGAAAAGGAAGAAGTCGCACGGTGCTATATTTGGTTCTTTTTGACCTCTTTAATGATGTCCTTCGAATGTTGGATTCTGAGCAATTGCTGGTCGTCAGTCAATTTGTGCGGAACAAACCGTGCACACACCTTTCGTAAGCCCAAATGTTCGGTCAAAATGCGATAAATCGATGGTTTGAAGAAGGTCAATTCCATTTCCATGAATTTCAATGATGATTTCGTCTGATTTTTGATGAATTCACACACGATTTCGATGGAATTTCCCCTTTGAAACCATTCGTGCACTCTGTTACGGGTTAGGAAATCATCGCCATAAATTTGTTTCATCAACTGAAACGTTTCGGTAAAGGTTTTACCAATTTTAAAAGAAAATTWAATGTTGGCTCTTTGTTCGAAGCTCATTTTCACACCGATAACACAAACATACTGACACTTAAAACGCTATAACTTCACTTCCAAATGTCATGAAATTCTCACTGGACAATCGATAAATATAGCAGATTCTAGCGCACCAATCGACATACAGATGGCGCTACCATGGGTGTTAGATTCAAAAAGTTCTGTTTACTTTGGAACGCACCTTGTATGTCACATATAGCTATCTCATTTTTGGTATATACTTGTATAATTAAATTATATTGTAAATCTTTACTTTCGCACAATGTTTCCATTATTTATTGAATTATTTAATTTAAATTGTTTTTCAGGGTTTGAACAACCTTTTGTTGAAAGGCATACAATTCCCCCACTACTGCGCTGTGGGTATGAAGGAATGCAAGTCGCCGTTATAAATGTTGGTCTAAACTAAATTAGTACTTGCTTCTTTTGTTATTTTTGAATTGTTAGTGTCTACATACATATAAATATTTAAGCTTTACAGTTAACTAGTGGGATGAATTTGTATTGTTCAAACCGTATATGAAGCCATTCAACTATTTACATTAAATATTTTTCTACTCAGTCTAAAATAATTTTTATTTAAAAAAAAAAAAAAAAAAAAAAAAAAAAAAAAATTAAAATTTAATCAATATTGATTGATGTTTTATTAAAGAAAGATCTATATGTTGTGAAAAAAGGTTATACAAAAAGAGTAGTATCGAAAAGTTTTGAGATCGTTAAAATCGGCTCATTGTGTTGCCTAAAACTCCTCAGATGGATGTGGCTAAATCGACTGAGCTCTTCATTCTGATCATTTATATATATATATATATAAATGTATATGTATATTATATATACCTCACGTCAGAGTCCCCATTTTGTCTTACAAAATAGATGTAGATAACGGCTACGGTTCTTTGCTATTGTAATGTTTGAAAGTAAAAAAAAAATCATTCGTTGGCAACACTTAACTGTTTTACAGATTTCATTTTTTGATCTTTCAATTCACTGAAGAGTGTCAAACAATATTTTTTTTTACATTCTATTTTTGAAAACATAATTATTTTTAGAAATTTAGAAAGAAGCGAAATTTACCTTTTTCTGATCTCGTCTACTAACAAAAGACAGAGTAGTTTTCTTCGAAAAGTAGTAACCGAGATATGAAGAACCCGCTTTGGTTTATTTTCTGGCTGTTGATTTTACTATTCGTCGCATTTTTTGTGGCTTTCTTCGCATCATTCTTTTACATATTGTTTTATATGTTTGAGGCATGCTGCGGATGCTGGAATGTAAGTTTTATTTATGGAATTCTGTAGAGGCTCTAAAACCCTCAAATCACAGATATGTACATATATATACTATACATGTGAAAACGCATTTGCAAGTTTCTGATATACTATGGAAGAACCTTTTCGATGCATATTTAAGAATCATATGTACTATATGCAAATGTTTATACTAAGTTTTCTCGCTTTATTGCATCTCACACGTGATTAATCTTAATCTAATATTTCTACTACTCGTCTAACTTTATAATTTAATTTTATTTTTCAGGGCATAAACAATTTTCTTCTTAAATGCGTACAATTTCCACATTATTGCGCCGAAGCCATGCTTGAATGCAGATCTCCATGCTAAAGGCTGATATTTAATAATAAATGCTTATACAAATGTATATATAATATATACATATATATTTATATGGAAAACTGATTTATAATATATGTAAAACTTGTAAATAAAAAAAAACTTTTAAAACGCGATATAAACTAGTTAAAACCTGAAACACAAGACTGTCAGGTGACGAGTAGTCAATTTATTTGTATGTTTTCAAAACAGAAGGAACAACATGAATCACCCAGAGCTTATGTCTATTAAGTACTCCCACATTACTTTGGTATTTTGTTACTGATCGCCAAGCCAGCTTCAAAAACATATTAGTAGAATCAAAAGAAGACTTTACACTTCAGCTGTGAAGTTATGATTAATGTAATACACCAGCTGAGACCACGAGTTTTTATTTGAAAGCAGGTACAAGTACTTTTTTCAATAGCTGTTTCTTGATAGATCACGCGTGATTCCTGTCAAGCTATCATGTTATTTTTGTTTAGCTTTGTTTGGCATTTCATCATGGAAATACATACGCCTAACCAACATTTACAAATCGTTAAAATTCATTACGAAAATGCATGTTCGGTACAGAATGTGTTTCACACACTTCACTCCCATCAACCATTTTGAGACCCATCATTCATTACTAGACATTGTCGTGGTGTACCTTACAATCGGCTGCGATGTTTGTCGGACCCGTTTGACCCTTCGTTTGAAACGTAAATTTGACGTTAACGGTTGGTCCAGGAGGAATAATTTCATAGTGGACGATACCTCCAAAAAAGGCTTGGTGCTAAAGCACCATCGAACACTCCGATGTACAAGCGCGGCGGAACAAAATCTGTCCAATTGCTTTCCAGATAAATTAAAATTTTTTTAAACAGTAACACAGAGAATGCCCAAATCATTGCAGCATCAGAAGATCCTTTCGTTCAGCGTTGTTTTGGAGATCGGGTGTAACTCGAAAATTATTTAATGATTTTTTCTTCACATTATTTGAAATAGGCCGGGTTAAAGATTATTAACTGTTGAGCCCACTGCTTGCAATTATCATTAGAGATTTAAAAGTGATTTCGATGACTTTTATTTTTCAGCTACAGCGTCACCTAGCGGATTATTTAAAGTTTATCTTTTTAAGTTGACATCTTTTTAAAACTTTATTCGAGGTTTCTTAAAAAAATTAAAACAGGATTGAGAAATTGAAATTGGCAGTTTACAGCGCATCAAAACCACGAGCAGGGCTAAAGAAACTTCGGTGGCTAGATGTAAGTAACGGATAGCAGGTGGAAAAGTTATAAACAATGTAAGCTAATCAGAAAGCACTGCAATGTAAACAGAAAAGCTGCACGCCTTTAGAAAAGCTCAAAGTACGACAACCGGTAGAGAGAATACATTTAACAGATATTTTAACATGAGCTGAGCATAACAGTAAATTTTTATAGTAAACAAACAAGCAAACGTTGTAAAAATACCATGATTCCTGAGATTATGAAATAACCAGTGAGAAGCATAGCAAAAACTGTTATACGCACTCCAATACCAGTGCACATAATGAGTAGTAAGCGGAGAGAGAGGGGGGGAGGGGGGTTCTGTCAGATGGTTATCTTGCAGCTGGCAGGTGGTTGGCGTTCGGCTGATGTGAGCAGACAAAGAAAGCTTTAGCGGAAAATTAATAACTTTTGCCGACCTGAGCATGGCTCCCTGCCCGGGTGCAATTTAATCGTGAGTGTTCTCTCGACGCGGTTAGTGCTGAAGTTAGCGGGTCATCAGCGGAGTGTTAAATAAATATAAAAATAATAGTTTAATAACTTTGAACGCTGAAATATCCTGTTACGTTGGAATGTAATTTTATGCAAATGCAAATTTATTTTAATTTTTTCAATTAATTTTTAGACCGCGTCATTTTATGCAATAAGTTAACGTGGTGTGGACTGAGTTTATAAAATCGAAGCGAGTGCATTAAACAACAGTTATAATTATGTAATTTGCATTTCCTCTATATATTGTATATTAAAAAGCAGTGTCAGCTGCCGAAACAGTTACTTTTATGCCATAAACTAAAGAATTTACTACTGCGAAAGCAAAGAAACAAGAAAGTAGCCAAAGCATGACAACTCGTGCGAAGTGAAAAATCTTTGTGCTGCACAAACATATGGCAAACTTTAAGAACAGCGAAAATATATAGCATACTTTACGGCGTACGGCACTGGAAACTGGATTGTAGTGCCGAACTAGCGTCTCGTACGCGGCGGGCAAGCTTATAGGCGCATATTTATAGGTGTGTGTATATATCTGTGAGTGTGTGTGTGTGTGTAGCCAACCGTTAACGCTGGCGTTTCTATGTGTGCGTGTAAACATTTCTTTTCATATTCATTTTTCATCGTGTCGTTGTTTTTGCACCCTTCGATAAAAAAAAAAACAGCTGCAAAGCGGAACAAACACACGCACTTAAGTACATATAGACAGACCTGTGATGCCTCCGACTCGGTGTGATCGATTTTTCGCTCTCTCGCGTTCGCACTTATTCACATCTTATTCACATTGTCCAAGTGTAGGTCCCAAACCACCGTCGCTTTTTCATTTTAACGCTTCCATATCCGTTCGCCCTTTCACCGCAGCCGGAACAAACGGCCGGAGCAGCCTCCTAGGCAACTGAAATTGCACTGTTCAGGATAAGCTCACTTGTTTGTGCCCCAGTCCGGTCCATACAACTACTAACTGACTGTTCAGAAATACTTGTAGAGTGAGGCGAAGAGCGCAGCAAAAGATAACAGACAATCTCTGAAGAAAAGAAAAAAACATAATAAAAATGAAAATAAAAAGCACAACAAGAGGTCAGCAGGCTTTGGCTGGATTTGTTTTGATTGTTTTCAGCAATATTGCGCCTTTTCTTTAAATTGAGACTGGGAGTATATGTGTGTTTGTGAACCAGTAGAATTTTTGTTTATTTTTGCACGTGAGTATATGCCATGTATTCGTTTTATTGTAATTTTTACAAAAAACTGCTTAATTGTCGTTGTTGCCTTATTATCGATAAATATTTTATTGTTGCTGTTTTGATAGCTCCTTATTAATGGGCAGGCACAAATACGTTAGACTTTGATCCAAATTTTATTTTGTATACGATGAATTGAACGGTATACAAGGTGCGTCCCAAAGTAAACAGGACTTTTTTAATCTAGCGCCCCCTGGGGCGCCATCTATATGTCGACTGCTGCGTTAGAATATGCTACCTTCATCGATTGTCCAGTGCGAATTTCATGACATTTCAAGCATTATGCAGACGTATAGACCATTCAAAATCTTTGTACCGACATACTGGCGGCCAACGAGCTAAAACACTCGTTCGACATGTTTTTGAACCGTGCAAAAAGCTGTATTGAAGCAGATGGTGACTATTTTGAATAAACTAAATTGATTTTGCTGAAAAAAAACCATTTTCTCTGTTTGTTTTAAGCCCTGTTTACTTTGGAAAGCACCTTGTAATAATAAAATTTTGTAAGAGATCTTAAATTAACACAATACATCCTACAAAAAGTGCGTCCACTCTATTAGATTGGGGTAGTCAACTAGACTCCATTGTCTTTTATACCTGTTCTTTTAAGACCAATAATGAGTCTGCAAGACTATGCCTCTAAGCTCCCTTTGTTTGTCAGTAGATGGCTCCAGCAGGTAGTGGTCATCGATTTTGATATACTCAAAGCGTGATAAACGTAACCTGAGCAAAAGAAACTTAATTTCAACATTAGTGACTTTGTTTATGTGTCATATAGTTTTGGAAGTGTCCGAGTTTTTGTGAAATAATCGCCTTTTGCGCGAGTGTTGATTTTCTTCCTTCAGTCAAAGAAATCGTCGGCTGAAGCACATTGGGAACCTCAAAAAGCTTACGCAGTTGCTGCCCCATGTAAAAAAATTTGCCGGGATTGGTTTCGAAGGCATGTGTTACAGAGCAGGCAAGAGGTCGCCACGTCTCTCGAGAGTCCGTTCGAATGATTTTGCGTTCTTGCTCGACTCGTCCGGACAAAGCTGACCCTTTTTCTAAAAGATTACAGTAAACAAGTCTGTTTGGATATGCTTGATCGTGCGAATTTAGATCCCACATAGATGGAAAGCATTATAACTGCCGAAGAGTCATGGATTTATGAGTTTGACATGCATTTTTCCTCCATTCCAATGATTGTTGGTCATTGGAATGGAGGAAAAAGCGATCCGAAGCCAAGAAAACCGCGACAAATTTCACAAAAATCAATGTCAATAAGGAGTTCTATTTGGCCGATGATAATACGAAAACCTGTGCTTGAGTATACCTGAGTAAAGTCAAAAGTTTGTACAATCATCCGAGACCTTTTCTGACACATTATATCTTACATAGTGATTTCCGACTTCCAACTGTCTTTAAATCGTTTAGGATGGTCAAAATGTATGATATTTTAGTAAAATTTATGGGACAAGCATTCTTAAAAATTAAGTGATTTAGCGCTTAATATGAAAAGCTTTTGCTTTAGACCGTGGTCCCGATTCTTTGCTTGGCGTTTTACACATCATTTCAATAAAATATATTTAGCCTATTCGATTGATTTTTTTATTTATATCAAATATATCTTATTTGAGGATTATTTTAATATAGTTTTCGCTGACGGGAAGTATAATATGTGATGAAAAGAGTCATCTACCAAGGAACAGTTTACAAAACGATTAAGCTTGCTTTATATCCACACCTGAAAGTATTTCCCAGGCTTTCATAATTTGCAAACTTATAACCTAATATCATTTAAAGTTGATAAGCCACTAATTAGTCATTAAGATGAAAATAAATCAAGCGATTTGCATGAGCAAGTAAATAGATAACATACATACATATATAGAACATATATAATACAAATGCCAATCTTGAGGTTTTCTAAAAATAAATAAATTAGCATTTTAACTGATAAGCGAGAAAAAATAAATGCAAACTTTATTGGAATTTTCTGATATTATTGTTTGAAATTCTAATTTGCATTCAGTGTCTCGGCAACGTGTTAAGCTTATTTATATTTCAAAGGAGTCTATGAGTACTGTAAACATACCCTATACATTGTGAGAAAAAAGTACTCGGAAACTGTAAATAAAACGCAATATTTATTATAGTTATTCATCAATATTTATTTTATCGCCTTCAAAGTAATCTCTACACTTATGCCAACGAATTTCCAGTCCTCAAAACTCTTTTCGTAAGCGCTTTTTAGGATGGCCTTCAGCTCCTTAAGCGAATTTTGTTTTATCTCTTGAATCGACTGAAAGCGGAGCCAAATCTGGTAAATATGGTGGGTGATTAATGGTATACCTTACGTTGTTGGCTTTTGAAAACAAATCAGCTTTATCGGGACGAGTCGAGCATGAACGCATTTCATACCCAAAATATTCACTTAAATCAATCGAACGGATTCAAGAGGGAGTTCGAGCCCTCTTGCCATCTCTCTAAGTACCATATCCTCATCGTAAGCCTTTCCAATATTCGCATGGATTCCGCACACAAAATTTGGTTAGAAATTCAAAATTTGAGACAATTTCTTTGTGCGATATTTTAATTCATTGTAAAAACCGCAACGCTCTACTGAGGTGTACCGACTTAAGCAGCTGTTGTAAAAAAATTGATTGACAGGTCGCGCTCATATTAGGTATAATAATTAACGACAGTCATACCAACTTAGAAAAATATCCCTTAATTTAATTACAATTTCCGGGTGCTTTTTAGTCACAATATATATTAGTGACTCGAAGGATTGTATAAGTGCCTCATTATCATGAAGGTACTCGAAACGTTGTATTCTTTGCGTTACACTGGGATATATTACAGTGGCTTTAAAATATCTTATATTCAAACAATAATATTGAAATAACGGTACATATTTTAGAGTGAAAATTTGTCACTTTTTCTGACGAACAGCCACCAGGCAAGAAGACCTCGTCTCTTTCGCAAAATCATGTCTTGGAGTTGTAATAAATGTCATGCTGGAAATGTTTCGATAAGTTGTCAAACATAGTGATATTTATCAGTCAGTTATGAGATTGAAAAATGTCTCATAAAATTGTGCCACCTTCAAGAGGACATTTCGTTTTGTATGATAATTTTGACGTCCAATCACACATTTCTCAAAAGCTAGATATATTTTTTTCAATGATATGTATAAAAAAGTATGTAAATAATTAAGTCGATATTAAATAAAAGTTAAATCTATGGTAAATAATAATGTCTGAGCACTGCCAATAGTAGCAACAAATAACAATGCAAAGGCTTTACGCTTTAACAGAGATTTTATAACATTTACTGAGCATTCGTAACAGCTCTCGCTTATTAGAAATCTCCTGGACTTTCTGACTTTTATTTCCAACAAACTTACACACAAGTAAAGTTATTTCAAATACACATAGTGACTGGCGGTATTTCGGAGCTCCACTCGCCACACACAACGATAAGCGGTGAGAGGCCACCCAACTTTGTTTGGTTTTTGTTGTGAGTATCGTGATATAGGCAATTTCATATACGCTTCGTGAGCATAGGCAGCATGTAGAACACTTTAAAAATGTTACTCAAAAGGATGTTCGGCTCAGTCAAGTTTGAGACGTTGTCGTGTTGAGACCAAAAGCGGATAAATACGCTGCGATAAACACTAGCCGTGAACGCGTTGGTTAAAGTAGTTAACATAAATACATATGTATAACGATGTGTTTGTAAAAGAGCTATAGTGTATGTAAGAATCTATGTACATATACCGCATATGAGAGAAAGCAACAAACATTTAATAGTGAGAGATTTAAATGTACTGCACAGCTTACAGTATATGGTGCTACAGTTGTGGTTTAAAATATTTAGGAAAGTACTGATAATTTTGCGGAATAATTGAATTGAGTATTGCAAAAGTTATAAAAAATAACTAATAATAAAAAAAATATACTAGTTTTTGTCAACAAAAAAATAAAATGTTTGTGGATGTTTTTTAGTATCAGAATTTTATGATACTCATTAAGGACTCCAAATAAAATTACTGATGATTCAAAATGAAAATTTATTGCCAAATTTGAATTCGCCTTTAAAATACTGGAGTGCGAAATGATTTATTATAGATTTGAGGGTAAGACATGCAGAACAGCCCCTAATTGAAAATATTTTCTATTTGGTAGTGCAATTGTGTCGAGTTTGAAAACAGTGAAAAAAGGTATAAATACATAAAACAAAAATATTTTATTTACAAAACAAAAACAACAAAATTGTGTTATTTCCTCCAGTGTTTGTAACAAATAAAGGCAGCTGTTAAAATTTTGTGCGAAAATTATAAATAGGACTTTTAATTGGTGAGTACATTTCCCAACTAAATTCTACTCTTTTTTAAAAATTGTTTAACATAAAATATATTTGTTTATATATTTATATATTAAATTTTTTATCCAAACAAATTTCTTTATAAGTACTGCTCCATGAATTCTTTTTGCTATGAAAATCTAACCTAATATTTCCTTCAAAATTTGAATGTTTTCTCAATGATTGCTAAGTTTTCAGGTGCCTAAAACTTCGTGAGTTTAATAGACGATTTTCCTACAATGGCATTCTGTTTCCTGCCTGGCATTTACCTTAATTTTACCTCATACTTAGATTTTCTGCCGAAAATTCGTCGTGCGATTTTTGATGGGCAACGTGATCCGTGAAAGTTGTTTTTTGCTTGATTTTTTGGCACGCGTCCCCAAACCACAGCATGACACTCATCCCCGCCACATTTTGCATAATTCCCATCACAGCTTGCCAGCTCGTCAACATTTCACTCATACCACTTTGTCCCGTCATCTCGTTGTTTGACAGCTGAGCTAGCCTACTTTTGTGTTTACCTCTTCATGTGAAGTGATACATTGTGTAAGGACTTTGTGTGTTAGTAGGATGCCGTGTACATTCTCCGTCCAAGCGTACGTTTCTATTTACTTATAAGTTTAGCATTTTACTATGCTATTCCCTTTGCTCACCTATTTCATTTCACTACGCTGTGTCGCACATTTATCTTTTTACTTATGCAGCGATACCTATGTGCACCATATATGGACATATTTGTATGAAAACGTATACCTTATAAGCTTAAAATGGCATGAGAAATGCGCTCCTTGTGTTGTTCTGCCGGCTGTCATAGGTGACTGCGATGAGTGCGTGTCTACCTTTTCGGCAATTGTACTTACGGAAAAAATTAAAAAAAAAAAGAAATTAAATCTGTGAAAAATATATTTTTTTTCTATAGATTTAATTACTATCTTAAGCATTAAGAAAGAAAAAATTTCTTCGGAGTTTGCATCGTTGCCATGGACCGTAGCAGATTTGATTAAGATATCGCTTCAAAAGAAAAAGCTTTCCATATACCCTATAATCAGTTTATTCCATTGTATAATGTCCTATGCCCTATGTATAGTGGTTCGATATCGGTATTTTCAATAAATGCGCAGCTTCTTGATAGAAAAGGACTTGTGCAACAATTCAGATCGAAATTTCTAAAAATGAGACACCCGTTCGTATATAGGCAGACGTTCGCGGTTAATTCGACTTAGCTCACCACGTTGATCATTTACATATATACATATCGTCATCTAAAATGCAAAACAGCGTATCATCAAAAACCAACTGAAAACCGTGGTCAGATTTATTAACCAATATATGTATAACCATTTTATAACCAAAACCAAATTTTGTTTCAATATGAATGGTTTCTATAATATCGTTTTTCCTTCGCTAATAAACTGATCTTATGTTATTTTGCATTTTAGGTGACAATAAGTATTTTATAGGGTCCCTGACTTTGCTTTTAGGTGATACATACATACATATATCGTGCTAACTTAATATACCTTTTTCAGGGTATAAAATTGCGATATAACGATCTTTGTCTGTATTTGAAATATCTTTCAGATATCGGAGTGAAGGCTTGTGATCGATTTAGGTGCATCCTCCGTCTCAGGAATCAGATGGAGTTGAACCTAACCTAACCTATCTAACTAAATACTCACATTAAATAATCTAACTAAATAACAATATTTCCCATCTGAAATTTCTTCTGTATTATACCCTTACAAGTTTGCATTTTTTGGATCTATATTTTCCTATACGCTACATTCAAAATTGTTGTTGTGTTATTTCTCTTTCTCTCTCTCTCTCTCCCTGTCTCTATCCTCCAAATTCTTGTTTTTTTTAAATATTTTTTCCTAGTAGTTTCGTTTCTTTTCCTACTAGAAATACTCTGCCGTTGCAGAACTACATTTTTTGGATAGATTTTTAATTTAATTAAAATTTGTTGAGTGGTGATTCGAACATTTTATTGGTATTAAATAAGACTGACATCATCCGATAGGTAGAGAGAGAGTAAGTGTTGAATTTAACTGTTAAGCTTATTCGTTTCTTTCTCCTTTACAATTTTTTTGTAAAATGAGTAAAGGTTAATCTGTGCAATCAGAAAAGTGACGAATCGCAGATGTCGACTATTGTATTTAGAATATGAGGCAATAAATAAGGATAGCTTGGTGTTTTTGCCATACTCAGTCTCAACCAAAAGTATCTTATAGCGCATTATACAACTGTTAATCTGTTAAATACCTAAGGGTAAAAAACATAAACGCTTAAAGAAAGTATATGGATAAACTCTTTATTAGCTGAAAATTTCTAAATTATCGAAAACAGTCGAATATATTATGGTTTAATTTTCATACGAGTTATCGGCTTAGGTTAAGAGATTGGCGATACGGGCATTTGAAGCAGTTTACAGCTATTATTCACAGTTTTATAATGTATTTCGAAAATTAAAATAAACAGTTACTCAAACACTCTAATTCCAACATGACTTTGCATAAGTAAACTGACACAAATCCATACAGCAACACACATCTACATTTACTATATATCAGTATGTATTTATGCATACACGCAGGTATTTTAGTCCATTATAAAAGTAGTGTAATTCTAGCGTCTGACAAGCGGTGCTTATGTGGACATGATTTATTGTTTAGAAATTTAACAACAATTTAGTCTAGTTTAACGGTTCATTGAAAGGAATACATTAAGCGAGTGCAAATCGTAAACAATAACTTGTCTACACATACATAAATAAATAGTGATATGATAGGTGAGTGTTGGCAAATGCCACTATAAAAAATAAATAAAAATGAAATGGAGAAGTGTATTACCGACAAAGTAAAATAAATAAAAAAATATTAGATTTCTGAAAAAAATCGTTTCTTTATGCAACCATCAAATGAGAAAACATAAAAAATTAATGAGAGCAGCGACGTACGCGAGAAAAATCGTGTGTTGGAGAGCGGAAATAGACTTTTTATACCTAGTGCACATTTGTTGAAGCTGTATATTCATCTAAAAAAATTGTTTGGTGCTGTTTTTTGAAAGTGTAATAATGTCACATGGAGCTACTATCAGGTACAAACACCAAGATTTGTCGGTCCATAATTCTTGCTTCGAAAGGTATTCGTAGTGCACCACGCCTCGATAGTCAAAGATAACTGTCAACATAACCTTGATTTTTTACCCGGTTTGACATGTTTTTGTCGACCTTGACTCACTTTTGCCACGATATTCGACTGATTGATCGTGTGTTTCAGAGTTGTAAGCATAGATACATGACTCATTGCTAGTAATAATAGTATGTTTCATATTATCTTGGTAGTGGAAAATCATTGTTTCGCAGATGTTAATGCGACACTAATTTTCGAAAAAAATTGAGTGATTTTGTAACGTACTTTCACTTTTCTTATTCCCAAAGATTTAAAAAAATGGTTTTCACTAATCCTTCCGATATTTCAACGATGACAGTAAGATCTCCGACTGTTAATCGTCGATTCTGAAACACAAATTTCTTTATTTTCTTGACGTGTTTATCATCAGTTGATCTCAAGACTGTATCTCCGAAATTATTACTCGGATTGAAAATTGTTCTTTGATAAAATGGAAATCAGCTGATGCATTATAATCGTTAGAATAAATGCACATCGAAGAGTACAAGCAAGTATAACAGCTGATCGTTAATCGAGTAGCCAGCAGTGCGAAAGGCAAGGATTGCTTTCTTAATTATAATCTTAATATATTAAAATAATTTGGCTGTGCGAAAAGACTATAAGATCGCGACACGTCTAAGTCCAAACAAACTGTCAGATACTCGTGATAATTATAAACAAAACTTGCACTCAAATAATGCGTTTTATTGTCAAATGCACTGCAAGAAGGTATGATAGCTATTTGTAGATCCCTTATTGTTTGTCAATACTTTGTTCGGTTGTCAATACTGTCCACTGCTAAAATAAATAGAGTCTTTTTTCTTCAGTTTTTTGAATACTTGACTGGAAATATCTCTAACGACACACTGAAATCGGATGCCGGGTATAAAAGCGATAAAGAGCGTGATAGTAAGTACACAAGCAAACATAATCTTAGCCCTCGCTTAACCAAAAATAAACTACTAACAAATGAGCCTATAAATGACTTGTTTTAGTTACGTTATTTTATAGCAGAAGGCATAAAATAGTTCAGACTATGGTACCCCACTGGAAGTGACCACACAATAAGCCTTATCGCTGAGGGTGTTAATTGTTTGACAGGCATACATCAGCTTGTATGTAACGTTATATGCGTGTGTGTCAATTGTGCGCTCCAAACATAAATCTCAATAAGCTCCGCGGCATAACGGATTAGACAATATTTTTTTGTACTCAACACAAAATAAAAAGTGATTACAGTGCGCAGGGTGGGAAAGATTAGTGGAATGAATTTAGCATACGTGTCAAAACGTTGAAGAGCCTAACTCGATTTTGGAACATTTGAAAGTCAAAGCCTAAAGTATTGGTTTTGTTGCTAAAATCGTCTTTTCCACTTGCAATCTTTATATACCCTTGGCTGGTGGGTTAATACTTTGCGATAGTAAAATAATCTGGGCCAGTATGTTTGATTTGGCACCTGGTTTATGGCAATAACTTTATAGTGTAATAATTCGACTTTGGCACTTTTATCACTGTGACTATCTGCAATTTATGAATGTGCTGTCGACATGAATATGAGCAGCAGTAACGGAAAATGTGGCACACAACTCTCGCTTACTCAAATTTCCATGGTTATTAATTTTTACTTTCCATTCCGTAATACAACGATTTTTATGGATTCATGGAAGAAAATGTGTTTGAAACTCATTTTAAATCTTTGAATGATTGAAAGTTTTAATTTTCCACTAAATAATAGAGAAATAATTGAAAAATATATTGTCAATATAACAATTATATGCATTTATATATTTATAAAGATGTATGTATGTAAGAAAAAAAATTTT